CCCCATAGGGAGCTCCACCGAAGGCCCCAGTGGCCTGGGTTTTCGTATGCCTCCACAACACCCAATTTCGGCACATCTCGCAACGTTTCGTGGCCCCATGGGATTTCCACTGACATGGGGATTTCCACTGAGGGCCCCAGTGACTGGGTTCGCATGCGCCCCCACACCCATTTCGGCACACCCCTCACACGTTTCGTGGCACCATAGGGAGCTCCACCGAAGGCCCCAGTGGCTGCGTTCGCATGCCCCCCCCACACCAATTTCGGCACACCTCTCACACGTTTCGTGGCCCCACAGGGAGCTCCACCGAAGGCCCCAGTGGCTGCGTTCGCATGCCGCCCCCACACCAACTTCGGTGCACCCCTCACACGTTTCGTGGCCCCATAAGGAGCTCCACCGAAGGCCCCAGTGGCAACGTTCGCATGCCGCCCCCACACCCATTTCGGCACACCCCTCAAACGGTTCGTGGCCCCATAGGGAAATCCACCGAAGACGGTACTCACACCAGCATTGCTCACAACTGCATATGGTTGGGTCCTTCGCCAGGCTAATTTTTCCTGGTGGATTGACGCTTCAGCGACCCGCCCGCTCGACCTGGCCGTTAGTGTCCGCCCGCCCGACCCGCCCGTCTGTTTCTGCCGCTTGTACTCCTGCTCCTGACCTCATCCTGCAAATTTCTCTCGTGCTCCATCTTTCTCTCTCCCCCTTGTCTCTTTCCTCCTCCCTTGCTTCCTATGTTTTGGGGGCTGCGCCAACTAAACGCGGCAGGTAGGGAAAATATACCCCCAAGGGTGGTGCGATCGAACACGAAGAGGGCGGGTATCGATCATTTGGGATATACGTATTGAATGGCACGTAGGTGTACTTTTTCCTGCACGTCCACTTCGGCACCGCCTAATCCCCGGGCTTCGCCCGCTCCTGGCCGCGTGAGGCCCTGCCTTCCTTCGCCCTTTCTCTGCTAATCAAAGCTGTGCGCGTCCCGTTTAGCTTTCAGCGGAAGAGGTTCGCTCTCGCCCTGCAGATCAACAAAGTGTTGAATGGCACGCGAGCAGATAAGAGCGAACATTCTTACAACAGTTGTTGCTGCTGCTGCTTTTTCCTTCGTCTCCCTGCGCATCCCTCCCCGTCTCTCTCTCTCTCTTTCTCCCTCGTCCTCTACCTTTTCCATCCACCTCCCTCTCCTTCTCTTTTTCATCTTTCCTCCAGAGCAGGAGGACCCAGGACCTAGGAGGAGGATGGTGATGGTGATGGTGATGGAGTGATGGTGATAGTGGTGGTGGTGGTGATGATGCTGCTGCTGATGCTGATGCTGCTGATGATGGTGATGACGATGACGATGATGATGATGGTGGTGGTGATGATGGTGTGGAGGAACATATTGTGGATGCGCAGGATGAGGATGAGGAGGAGGATGCGAGGGCCAGGACCATGATATTGTCTGGAATTCATGGCCCATCTTCTGCCCCCTATAAGTTTCCTTGGCCCCCTCTCGTTCGCGCACGTGCCTCGGACGATGATGTGATGCGCGAGCCCCCCCCTTCCTGAACCCCTCTTCGGGCGCACCCGACCTTTCCTCCAGGGTCTGCCTACTTCATGCCAGCGGATGATGTCCTCCGGGTCTCCGTCCTCCTCCCGCCCTTTTGTCCCTCTCCCCTCCTGTCCCCCTCACCCCCCCGAGCCCCCGAGCTCTCGCCCTTCGTCCCTCGCCGCCTCCTCGACCACTAATCAAGATGAGCGAATAGTGCCTTCCCCTCTCCCAAGATCCTGTCCGAGCGGGGCTTGCTTCTCCCGCATAGTGTTTTGTAGCGTACAGGATTCCCGAGGGGCTCAGGAGGTCAGATGTGGCGCGAGCGCGCCTAGCTTGCCCCCCGCCGCCCCGCCCCTCTCCCACTCCCGCCCGTCCCGCCCGTCCCGCCCGTCGGCGCTGGCGAGGAGGCGAGTGAGCGCGCGGGTGAGGAAGGGGGCGGGGGGCCCGAGAAGGGCTCCAGGCGCCCGAGCACGGCGAGGAACCTGCTGGGACCCCTCTCCCCCAGGATGCACTTCCTCCGTGCCGGCGGAGGGGCGTCCGGGTCTCCGCGCGTCTCCTCCCCCCGCCCCCCCTCCGCGCGGCTGGGTCGCCGGCAGGCACCTCTTCCTGTGGCCTTGCGTCCTGGCCTGCTGCCCGCGGATCTGCACGGGCAAGTTTCAGGCGGCATCGCCCGCAGCGGGAGGAGGAGGAGGAGGAGGAGGAGGAGGAGGAGGAGGAGGAGGAGGAGGAGGAGGAGGAGGAGGAGGAGGAGGAGGAGGAGGAGGAGGAAGGAGGAGGAGGAGGAGGAGGAGCAGGAGGAGGACCAGTGTAAACTCAAGACGCATCAACGCCGTTGCAATAAACCCTGTCTCCAAGTTCCCTCGTCGCATGTCCCTACAAGAATTCCCAACCATCCTGTGGTGTTGGGTCCTCGTTTTGACTAGACAGCGCCCCGCATCTCCTCCTTCCTTCCTTCCTCCTCCCCCTCCTCCCCCCTCCCCACCCCCCGTGGGCCCCAGTGGCCCCATAGGGAGCTCCACCGAAGGCCCCAGTGGGGGTGCCCGCATGCGGTTCCCCCACTCAGGGCAGCGTTTCGTGGCCCCATAGGGGGCTCCACCGAAGGCCCCAGTGGGGGTGCCCGCATGCGGTTCCCCCACCCACGGCAGCGTTTCGTGGCCCCACAGGGAGCTCCACCGTAGGCCCCAGTGGGGGTGCCCGCATGCGGTTCCCCCACCCAGGGCATCGTTTCGTAGCCCCATAGGGAGCTCCACCGAAGGCCCCAGTGGGGGTGCCCGCGTGCGTTCGTGGCCCCATAGGGAGCTCCACCGAAGGCCCCAGTTGGGGTGCCCGCATGCGGTTCCCCCCACCCAGTGCAGCGTTTCGTGGCCCCACATGGAGCTCCATGCGGTTCCCGCGCCCAGGGCAGCGCTTCGTGGCCCCACAGGGAGCTCCACCGAAGGGGGGGTGCTCGCATGCGGTTCCCCCACCAACGGCAGCGTTTCGTGGCCCCACAGGGAGCTCCACCGAAGGCCCCAGTGGCTGCTCTCGCATGCGGTTCCCCCACCCCAGGGCAGCGGTTCGTGGCCCCATAAGGAGCTCCATCGAAGGCCCCAGTGGGGGTGCCCGCATGCGGTTCCCCCACCCAGGGCAGCGTTGCGTGGCCCCACAGGGAGCTCCACCGCAGGCCCCAGTGGGGGTGCCCGCATGCGGTTCCCCCACCCAGGGCAACGTTTCGTGGCCCCACAGGGAGCTCCACCGTAGGCCACATTGGGGCTGCCCGCATGCGGTTCCGCCACCCAGGGCATCGTTTCGTGGCCCCATAGGTAGCTCCACCGAAGGCCCCAGTGGGGGTGCCCGCATGCGGTTCCCCACCACCAGCACTGTCGCGGGCCCCTCACACAGTTCTTGGCCCCATAAGGAGCTCCACCGAGGACGATATTCACAACTGCGGTACTCACAACTGCATATGGTTGGGTCCTTCGCCAGGCTAATCGGTTTTCGTTGCGGTGGTCCATTTGGAGACAACCGCCTGAGAAACGTCCATCGTGCTGAAACACAATCCCTGGGGCTTCAAGGCCGCGGATCTAGTGATTGTTGCGACCAGACAGCCCTAAGGCCTGCTAGAACACCATTCGTGGGACTTCAACAAAGCGAAGCAACATTATTGAAGCGTCCTGACCAGTATGCAACGTGCCAGAACACCACTCCTGGGACTTTAGTTGCTCGAGTCTTTCAAGCTGCTGAAGACGAATGTGCGTGGCGCTAAAGTCAGAGCCGCATTTTGAAAAGGAGCAGCCCTGCGGCCCTCCATCCGCGAAATTGTTGCAAACTTTTGAAACGAGCGTGTGCGGCGCTGTTACGAGAAACACATTTTGAGAACGAACCACCCTCCATCCGTTAAACTGTTGCAGACTTTTGAGCCGAGTGTGCGCGGCGCTAAGGTGAGAGCCGCATTTTCAAAATGCCCCGCCCTCCATCCGTGAAGCTGTTGCAAATTTTAAGCTTTAGGCTTATTCATGGTGAGGAAGGCTCAGGCAAAACGCCCAGCCCGCCCTACCGACACGGCTGGGAGTGTGACAGGGGGAAGATTTTCATACGGCGAAAGGATGGAGGAGGAGGAGGAGAAGGAAAAGGAGGACGAGGGGCGACCACAAGGGATGAGGAGGGGAGGAAGACCACGGTGAAGAGGAGTAGGATGTGAAGGCAGAGGCGGATGCGGAGGAGATGGAGGAGGTGGAGCAGGAACAGGAGCGATGCTGACGACGGTGACGAGGAGGGAGGATGCGGGGTGGACGGTTGAAAAGGGTTTATGATGAGGGAGGATGCGGAATGGACTGAGGACAAGGGCGAGGATAAGGAGGAGGGGGAGGGAATAGAGGGGTGTTGGAGGAGGAAGAAGAGGAAGAAGGGTTAGAGAGAAGGAGGTGGAGTAATGAAGAGTAGGAGGATGAGGGATGATGATGGAGGAGGAGTGGGCGGATGGAGGAGGGGAATGATGAGGAAGGAGCTCGGAGGAGGGAGAAGGATGAGGGACGAACAGGACGGGGGGAATGAGGAGGAGGGGGAGGACGTGGGATGAGGAGGAGCGGGGAAGGATGAGCACGCGCAGGCGCGACTCTTTCAGGAAGGCCTTATCTCAATGTTTATTCGCCCCATGTTCCATGTTCTTCTTCATCGTCTACTTTCCCAACCATCCTGTGGTGTTGGGTCCTCGTTTTGAAGAGACGGTGCCCCGCGTCCCCTCCTCCCGCTGCCCCCTCCCTCCTCCCTCCTCCCCCTCCTTGCCTCTGCTCTCGGCACACCCCTCACACGTTTCGTAGCCCCATAGGGAGCTCTACCGAAGGGCCCAGTGGTTGCTCTCGCATGCGGTTCCCCCACCCAGGGCAGCGTTTCGTGGTCCCCATAGGGAGCTCCACCGAAGGCCCCAGTGGCTGCTCTCGCATGCGGTTCCCCCGCCCGGGGCAGCGTTTCGTGGCCCCATAGGGAAGGGAGCTCCATCGAAGGCCCCAGTGGCTGCTCTCGCATGCGGTTCCCCCCGCCCGGGGCAGCGTTTCGTTGCTCCACAGGGAGCTCCACCGAAGGCCCCCTGGCTGCTCTCGCATGCGGTTCCCCCCACCCAGGGCAGCGTTTCGTGGCCCCATAGGGAGCTCCACCAGGCCGCAGTGGCTGCTCTTGCATGCGGTTCCCCCCACCCAGGGCAGCGTTTCGTGGCCCCATAGGGAGCTCCACCGAAGGCCCCAGTGGCTGCTCTCGCATGCGGTTCCCCCACCCAGGGCAGCGTTTCGTGGCCTTATAGGGAGCTCCACCGAAGGCCCCAGTGGCTACTCTCGCATGCGGTTCCCCCACCCAGGGCAGCGTTTCGTGGCCCCATAGGGAGCTCCACCGAAGGCCCCAGTGGCTGCTCTCGCATGCGGCTCCCCCACCCCAGGGCAGCGTTTCGTGGCCCCATAAGGAGCTCCGGCGAAGGTCCCAGTGGCTGCTCTCGCATGCGGTCCCCCCGCCCAGGGCAGCGTTTCGTGGCCCCGCAGGGAGCTCCACCGAAGGCACCAGTGGCGCAGTTCGCATGAGCGTTTCGTGGCCCCATGGGGAGTTCACCGAAGGCCCCAGTGGCGCAGTTCGCATGCGGTTCCCCCACCCAGGGCAGCGGTTCGTGGCCCCATAGGGAGATCCACCGAAGGCCCCCGTGGCGCAGTTGGCATGCGGTTCCCCCACCCAGGGCAGCGTTTCGTGGCTCCATAGGGAGCTCCACCGAAGGCCCTAATGGCGCAGTTCGCATGCTGTTCCCCTGCCGAGGGCAGCGTTTCGTGGCCCCATAGGGAGCTCCACCGAAGGCCCCCCCAGTGGCGCAGTTCGCATGCGGTTCCCCCACCCAAGGCAGCGTTTCGTGGCCCCATAGGGAGCCCCACCGAATGCGGCACCCACAACGCGTTACGAACAATTGCTCATGGTTGGGTCCTTCGACAGGATAATTTTCCGAACCATCCTGTGGTGTTGGGTCCTCGTTTTAATATGACAGCGCCCCGCGTCTCCTCCTTCCTTCCTTCCTCCTCCTCCTCGTCCCTTCTCCGTCCTCCCTCCTCCCCCTCCCCCTCCTTGCCTTTGCTCTCGGCACACCTTTCACACGTTTCGTAGCCCCATAGGGAGCTCCACCGAAGGTCCCAGTGGCACAGCCCGCGTGCGGTTCCCCCACCCAGGGCAGCGTTTCGTGGCCCCATGGGGTGCTGCACCGAAGGCCCCAGTGGGGGGGGGGGGCGCATGCGGTTCCCCACACCCATGGCAGCGTTTCGTGGCCCCATAGGGAGCTCCACCGAAGGCCCCACTGGCTGTTCTCGCATGCGCTTCCCCCACCCATGGCAGCGTTTCGTGGTCCCGTAGGGAGCTCCACCGAAGGCCCCAGTGGCTGCTCTCGCATGCGGTTCCCCCACCCAGGGCAGCGTTTCGTTGCCCCATAGGGAGCTCCACCGAAGGCCCCAATGGCTGCTCTCGCATGCGGTTCCCCCCACCCAGGCCAGCGTTTCGTGGTCCATAGGGAGCTCCACCGTAGGCCCCAGTGGCTGCTCTCGCATGCGGTTCCCCCACACAGGGCAGCGTTTCGTGTTCCCATAAAGCGCTCCACCGAAGGCCCCAGTGGAGGTGCCCGCATGCGGTCCCCCCGCCCAGGGCAGCGTTTCGTGGCCCCATAGGGAGCTCCACCGAGGGCCCCAGTGGCTGCTCTCGCATGCGTATCCCCCACCCAGGGCAGCGTTTCGTGGTCCATAGGGACCTCCACCGTAGGCCCCCGTGGGGGTGCCCGCATGCGGTTCCCCCACCCCAGGGCAGCGTTTCGTGGCCCCATCGGGAGCTGCATCGTAGGCCCCAGTGGGGGTGCCCGCATGCGGTCCCCCCAGCCAGGGCAGCGTTGCGTGGCCCCATAGGGAGCTGCACCGTAGGTCCCAGTGGGGGTGCCCGCATGCTCTCCCCCACCCAGGGCAGCGTTTCGTTGCCCCATAGGGAGCTCCACCGAAGGCCCCAGTGGCTGCTTTCGCATGCGGTTCCCCACCCAGGGCAGCGTTTCGTGGCTCCATAGGGAAACCCACCGAATGCGTTGCCCACAAAGACGGTACTCACAAGTGCACATGGTTGGGTCCTTCGCCAGGCTAATTTTTAAACCATCCTGGGTCCTCATTTTGAAGAGAGCGCTC